CACCAGTATCAAATATTCTCAAATATCACTCACCAAATGGTCATGTGGCTTGTAATAAAACAAACAAATAATCTTAGTGATAAGATTTTTATAGATGTTCCCTCATTTCACAGAAGAGGTAGGACCCAGAGAAGGTAAGGTACTTACTAAATATCACACAGCATTTGACAGCACCAGAACTTAAACTCAGGTCTATATCAATCCACTTAATAAACTGTCATCCATTTTCTCAAGAGCAGATGTGAATATGAAATGCAATCATTCGCTTAAAAAACGTCAAGTATCTTAGATATATTTGAAATTGAAATCATCTTCTTAAGGTCTTCATTTATAAGGATCCTTCCAAATACTCCACCAGAGACACCTACATCATGAATCAGAGATCAAGGAGCATATATAACTCCTACTGGAACAGTCATGCATGAATTAATCAAAAGTGCATGCCAACATTTTCAATAGAAAAGTTATTATCTAAGATGAAAATAATAGAAGATGCCTAGAAATACAGGAAAGTTATAGTAAGAAACCATTAACTGTTAATGAAAATAACAGCAAGGTGCTAAAAAAAAAAAACAACCTGAAAAGGATAATGGAAACACTACTGAAACAGTAGGCATAGAGAAGGAAAAACTTAGTTTCAAGATAGAGAAGGGGAAAGCTTTCTGAGACAGAAAGGAAAAAACAGTCAGAAGGGGCAGGCTGGAAGGAAGGAGGGCTCCCTCCTGAATCTAAGACAGCACTAAGCAGGCTTCACTGTCCTAGCAACTTCAGGCAGCAGGCATTTAGCAGCTGCAGCCCAGCCTCAGAGCATCCTCCCCAAGGGACAGAGGTGGCTTGGTGGGAAAAAACCAGTGCCATCATGTGACTTCAAGGGTTCCTCTGCTTCAAATCTTTCCTATTTGGCAGCTGATGCTGGGAATTCTATTACCAAGGAATAAAATCGTTTCCTTCCACAACGAGAGAAGTAATAATCAAATGTTAAATTGCAGCCATGCTTTGCTTAACGACAGAGAAATATTCTGAGAAATGCATCATTAGGTTTTTATTTCATTACTAAAGGCCCGATGCACAAAATTTGTGCAAGAGTAGACCTTTCTTCCCCTGGCACCCAAGACCCGGGCTTCCCTTGCAGACCTGGCTTCATCCAGAAGGTCATCCAGAAGGACATCCAGTCTAATTAGCATATTAT